AAAAGTTACAGTGCAGTGTAAGTTATCAATCTACTAGTTAAAGGCAGTGGTAAAAAGAAAAATCTTAAATATTTAATTAAAAGCAATGGTAAAAAGAAAAATCTTCAGTCTCAATTTAAAAGAACTAACAGTTTCAGCAGACCTGCAGTGGAGTTTGGAGTAGTTTAGAGTTTGTTCCAGATATACGGAGCATAATAACTGAACGCTGCTTCTCCTTGTTTAGATTTGACTCTGGGGACAGAAAGCAAACCTGCCCCAGACGACCTGAGAGGTCTGGATGGTTCGTAACGAAGCGCAGAAGATCAGAAATGTATTTTGGCCCTAAACCATTTAGTGCCTTATAAACTAACAGCAGGATTTTGAAATCAATTATTTGACATACAGGAAGCCAATGTAAAGACCTCAGAACTGGAGTGATGTGATCCACCCTTTTGGTCTTAGTGAGGACTCGAGCAGCAGCGTTCTGAATCAGCTGCAGCTGTCTGATGGATTTCATAGGGAGCCCAGTAAGGACACTGTTACAGTAGTTGAGTCGACTGAAGATAAATGCATGGATAAGTTTTTCCAGGTCTTGCTGAGACATAAGTCCTTTAATCCGTGATATATTCTTCAGATGATAGTAGGCTGACTTTGTAATTGTCTTAATGTGGCTCCTCAAATTCAGGTCTGAGTCCACCGACTGAGATTTCTGGCTTGATTTGTGGTTCTTAACATTACAGATTGAAGTCGAGCACTGACTTTCAATCATTCCTCCCTGGCTCCAAAAACAATAACTTCAGTTTTATCTTTGTTCAATTGAAGAAAATTCTGGCACATCCAGCCGTTGACCTGCTCAATGCAGTTACTCAGCGCTTGTATGGGGTCATATTCCCCTGGTGATATCGTTATGTAAATCTGTGTGTCATCTGCATAATTTTGGTAACATATTTTGTTGTTTTTCATAATCTGAGCCAGTGGAAGCATGTAAATGTTAAACAAACGAGGTCCCAGAATGGAGCCTTGGGGAACTCCACATGTCATTTTTGTCAGCTCAGATGTGTGATTACCTATAGACACAAAGTAGTCCCTGTCCTTTAAGTAGGATTCAAACCATTTTAGTACTGTGCCAGAAAGTCCAACCCAGTTTTCAAGTCTGTCTAGTAATATGTTGTGGTCGAACATTTCGAATGCAGCACTGAGATCCAATAATACTAAGACTGAAATTCTGCCACTGCCAGTGTTTAAATGGATGTCATTGAAGACCTTAACAAGAGCTGTCTCAGTGCTGTGGTGTGGTCGAAAACCTGGCTGGAAGACATCAACAGTTATTTAGTGCCAAGAAAGCACTAAGCTGTTGAAAAACAGCCTTTTCAATGATTTTACTTAAAAATGGGAGATTTGATATGGGCCTATAATTGTTCATTAGTGACCTGTCTAGATTGCTCTTTTTTAAGAGTGGCTTAATGACTGCAGTTTTCAGGGCCTGTGGGAAAAAACCTGAGAGGAGAGACATGTTGACAATTTATAGTAGATCTGAGGCCATGCATTTAGAAACATTTTTGAAAAAACCTGTTGGCAGAATATCAAGGCAACATGAAGAGGATTTCAGATGTTGTATTATGTCCTCCAGGTTTTTATGGTTAATAGAATCAAATTGTCTCATGCTATATAAATTGTTTTTAAGTGGACAAAGGGACAAGACATATCCTTTTACTGGCATGGAGGCACTGATTGCTTATCTAATTGTTTGAATTTTGTCTGTGAAGAAGGAGGCAAATTCAATGCAGGCCCTGGTGGATAGAAGTTCAGAGGCTACAGACACAGGAGGGTTGGTTAGCCTGTCGACAGTAGCAAACAGGGCACGTGCATTATTAGTGTTTTTGGTAATGTCAGAGAAGAAGGACCGCCTTGCATTTCTCAGTTCTAAATTATAAATGCGAAGTCTCTCTTAATAGATGTCATAATGAACCTGGAGATTTGTTTTCTGCCACCTGCGTTCAGCTTTTTGACACTCTCTTTTTTGAGTACTAACCAGCGTGGCATTTCTCCATGGAGATCTTCTCTTACCAGAGATCACCTTCACCTTGGCAATGGCATCAATAACATTTGTAATTTTAGAACTGAAATTATCTACAAGCTCATTCACTGAGACCCGTGAGAGGGCGGGTGTCGAGGAGAAAGCCTCAATAAATTTCTCACTAGTGTTTTCAGTGATATGCCGTTTTGTGATTACCTCTGTTTGTACATTTGTGTGCACGCAGATAGCACTCTCAAAGAAAACACAGGAATGATCAGAGAGAGCAACATCAGTCACCACAACCTTGGAAATGTCCAGACCCTTGGAGATGACTAAGTCCAAAGTGACCTTATTGTGTGTGGGCTCCGTCACATGTTGGGTCAGTCCATAATTATCAAGAACACAACACAGTTATTTAGTCTCTCTGTCCTGGGGGTTGTCAACATGGATGTTAAAAACACCAACAATAACCACACAGTCAAAGTCAATACAGATTATAGACAGCAGTTCAAAGTCATCAAAAAGGTCTACACAGTATTTAGGGGGGCTGTAGATATTTAGAAAAATAGCTCAAAAAGAGGAATTCAGCTGAAGAGCCACATATTCAAAAGAAGCAAAATTCCCATAAGACATCTTTTTGCACTGGAGGGAGTCATTATACAAAATGGCTACTCCACCTCCTCTCTTATGCACTCTAGCTTCACTCATAAAGCTGAAGTTGGGAGGGGTAGACTCGATAAAGACAGCTGCACTGTTATCTTGGTCCAACCAAGTTTCAGTTAAAAACAAGAAATTAAGATTGTGAGTGATTATAAAATCATTGATTAAAAATGTTTTTCCTGCCAAAGACCTAATGTTTAACAAAGCTAAATTTAGTGTGTTAAAAACATTATCTGGCCCACTTTTTTCGACAGGTTGCAGATATGTTGAGTGCTGTTTATTAACACATTCACCATGCTTTTTCTGTTACCTGTCAAGACAGGGATGGAGAAGACAACCAGCACACTGGGCCCCAGCTTGTCCTGGGAAGAGTCATGAGTGCTATTTTCCTTGTAGCCTGGACCCAGCACATATCAGACAGAGCTTACTGGGCTTTTTCTGCCATTGTGAAGCGGGAAGGCGGGTTGTGCACTGTATTTGTGACACATGTGTCAAACCTGGAGGACTTAGAACCAGTGGTGGAGGTGGACGGTGAGGGGAGTTTATGTTAGAGAAAATGGGAGTGGAGCGAGGGAAGGTGTGGGGAGTAAATTTTGTCCCAGCTCTAACCATGTCTTCCATGTGATCAGTGAAGTCCAACAGGGGGGAGAGGGGAGAAAGGGTGTCTGGAGATAAGGGTGACCTAGATGGGGATTGGGGGGGTAAAGATGGTGAATCCTCACTGTTGGTTTTCAGTGAGGGAGGTGGAGGCTCTTCCTCTTGGCTCAGTTGTCTCCCATGATCAGAGCTCTCTTCTGGCAGGGGCTGAGGTGGCTCTCCTTCAAGGTTTCTGGCATGTTGTGTTATGTCTTCTTCTTGTTTAGATTCCTCTTGTCTCTTGTCCTTGGCAGAGGGAACAGATGAGTGACGCAGAGAGTAAAACAGGTTGGAGCTGAACAATTTTACTCCTGACTTGTTAAGTCCATCTGCCTTAAAATGTCTGCAATCCCACAGAAAGTAAAAGTTTTCGAAGAAATGAACTGAATGGATAGTACATGCCATTGAGGGCCACGTGTTCAATGCCATCAATCTGCTGAATCTCTCAGCTCCTCTTCGGATTGATGGTATAGGGCCACTGATAAACACCAACAGTTTTCAACATTATTATTATTAAAATCCTCTTTCAACACTTCAGATTGTTGCTTCACATCATTGGTCCCGATGTGCAGTATGATGTTTTTCACAGTAGGATGTTCAGCCACGATATGCAGGATTCTTTCTGCCAAGTCAGACACTGTATCCTTCGGAAAGCAGAGTATTTTGGTGTTCTTACTGCACATGCTTCTTACATCGTTAACAGCAGAGTCACCCACAATCAGAGTTTGAGGCCCAGTCATTAGCTTTCCCTGCAGCCTTTTACTTTCTGATTTACTCTCAGTCCTTACCCTTCTGTGTGAGGACGGGAGGTTATCCAGGTCATCAGACGGAGATCCAGGGTCCTGCAATAGTGGTGAAAATCTGTTCTGCTGTTGCACACTCGGTTGTTGGGGAGGTTTGTTGCTAATTCTCCCTTTCGCATCTGTCCACGGCTGTGTCCTACCAAGAACAGGGGTTGAAGAGGCGCTCTGCCTGGATGATAATGCAGGCCAGCCAGTCGCATCACAAATCTCAGGGCGCTGGGTTCAGGCGTATACTGGGTCACCATAAAAGTTAACACAGTATACGATAATAACAAAAAACACTTACATATTAAGCTAAAATGTAATAGAGCTTCAGTACTAGCTAAAGAGTGGTAAATACCACCTTAATTAGGTAATTAAGGTTAATAAAGGTGGTATAACATAATTTAAATCACCACCGTACACTTTTCTGAGTAATGTTATGATAAATGTGGACATTGCAAAAACTTGGACTACAAATAAAACACCTGGAGGCCAAATGTTGATATAATAGACTGTATAAACATGTCCATGACATCATCTATAGGTGTCTGAAGAGCTGATGTGAAGTTCAATATGGACGACTCCTGGACGCAAAAAGGTAGAGCTGATGCAGGCTGAATAAAGCCTGGTTGCTGAATGTGCGGCTAGCCATCTGAGAGTGCAGCCCCTAGTCACTAAAAGGGGCCACTTCCTTAATTTTGCATCACTTTAAATGGTAAATAGACTGTACTTTCCGACCACTCCAAATGATTTACACTGCATGTCACATTCACCCGCTGATGGCAGTGACTACTATGCATGGTGCAAACTGCTCATCAGAAACAGAAACTTATACATTCACACACTGACAGCACAGTCATCAGGAGCTATTTGGTGTTCAGTTAAAGAAACTTCAACATACAGATTTGACGACCCGCTCTGTCTCCTGAGCCACAGCCTTAATATAATTTAAACGGCTAAGTAGTATAAAAATTCACCCCTCGCAGTTTTCATGAAGGGGGAAATCAGCTATAGAGACCAAAACCATATTTTGTACCAGCCTGTAAACCTGTTTATTTCTGCCATAGGCAGTCAGGCATTTTAACATGGGAGGTCTTTGGAGAATCTCAAGCAGCCACTCAATTACCTGCATTTTTTGGCACTTCTGCATTGGTTTCATTTTTCAGACCCGGATTTTGCCGCCTGTTGATATGGAGATTTATCAGAAACAGCCTGTTTTTGTTAAAAAAAAAAATAGAAAGAGACCTCAGAGGTATTACTGACTGAGGGAGGACCTCTGGCCCTGGATGTGGGGAAGATGAGTTGAGATCCCCTGGCTAAGGGAAGATTGGTAAACTTGGCAGCATGATGGTCTCCCTACATGCAGTGTCCTCTCTTGAACATGACCTGGACTCAACACATACGTCTGGACAGACAAGAAGAGGAAATGGGAAAAGTCAAGGCGTCACTGTTCACGTAGAGGACCTAAAGGGAGACACAAAGGCAGAGCCGGTTTAATTAAAGGCACTTAGCTTGAAACTATGGTAAATATAGAGGCTTTCAGTTTGGCAACATAAAAGCTGTTAAATAATTCTCTGATACAGCTAAGGCAGAAAGCAGATCACAGACTAGCAAACACAGGCAGGTTTACAGAACATGGAACCGGCAGGCTGGAAAGGTTGTAACACAAAGGCAGTATGGCACATGAGCGTGGTTGGTTTATGTACTTTGGGACTAAATGAGGGACAGGTGTGCAGAGGGAAACTGGATCAGGCCACTGGCAAATGATGGGGAACATCTGAGGACATCTGCTTGAGAGATGGGGACTGACAGGGTCACAAAAAATATAGAGAATAGGTGAACGGAGAAGGGCAGGCAGGGCACAAGAGGTGACTGAATACTTAACTTTTGTTTGTATGACTTTTACAATTTTTTCCCCCAGTATGTGTGTATGCACTCACCTATCCTGTGGTGGTGTATTAAGGTTTAAGTGTATCCCCTATGAGAATGGCAGCCTAACCCAGCTTTTTTCCCGATATTATTTCTCCTTTCATCATCAGTAGTTCTGAATTCAATACTCTCTCTCATCATACATACATAACACAAATGCATGCATGGGCACACACCCGCACGCGCATAGACCAGTGTGTGTTGGTGGATCTGTCCCTCTAGTTGCCAGGGAAACACCAGGACACGGCGCATCAAAATGAGGGGTTCATCGATATCTCCACTTTGTAGTGAACTTTGACTGGTGGGGCCGTCAGATGGGTTTTACTGTTCTAAAAAGGATGGGAGAATAAGTAAGAGTGTGCGCATTTGTGTACTTGCTCCTGTTATGTGTGTGCCCCCCCCCCGCAACATCTCAACATCTCAACATCATAATATGTTTTGGTGGTAGAAGCCTCCACTACACCACTCATATCTACAGTCAGTACAAAAGGAATTTAGAGATAAAAGATCCCGTTGCGATGGGAACAACCCCCTGCTGACAGAACCTGGTGACATTTGGGCTGGTTGTTCTGATGATGATTATAGTTGACAGGTGTACCACATGTTCGTGGACCAGGACAGGCAGGTGATAATGGTGGCCGACTTACGGCATCCACACACATGAAATGTTGGCAGTCAGAGGGAATGAGAATAAAAAGCAACATAAGGGAAAGAAAGGCATCATTGTTTTGTTGCATAGAACACACACTATGACGCTCCTTTTGAAAGTGATTTTTTTTAATGGACTGCATTTATTCAGCGCTTTCATCCAAAGTGCTTTACAATCTCATTCACCCATTTACACACACAGATGGCAATGAAATACCATGCAAAGCACTAACCAAGGCCTAATTATCTGGAACAATTGGGATTCCGTGTCTTACTCTACATATGGACAGCAGCCCTTAGATTGAGCCTCAAACCTTGTGAATAGTGGAAAACCCACTCTACCTGCTGAGCCACAGCTACGCATTTTTTTAAGACTAAACAGACATATTTCACATTGGAAATAGGTCAGCTGTAATGTTAAGTATTGTTTATTATAATAACTGGCTTATAACCTGTGAAAATGTGGCTGTTATTTATTCTCCTAATGCATCTTATTACATTTTGGCCATTTCCTTCTTTTTGCTTTTTTGTAAAATGTTCTTGGAGTCATGTTCTTTTCATTCCTGGAATATGATTAAAAACTTACTAAATCCCAGTTTCCATTTTCTCTGGGTCCTTTTCTATCCTCGGCTCGAATAGCAATCCTGAAATGGAAAAGGCAGAGAGACAGTTGGAGGGAGAAAGACAGAAGCAGAGATGAGTTTTAAAAACTAGGCTCTGAACATTACCTTGGCCTTAAAATTATAGTACACCACCATGAAAATGCACATAGCCCGAGAGAGATGATGAATGCCTTGGGAGCAGAAGAGCCCACCAGTAAATAACACAGATAACAAGCTCATCACATCTGGGTATGTGCTGTTCCTTGGGCAGTGTACTGCCTCAGGCTTTGTGGCGTTCACACCTCTGCTACTGTTTTATTTTCACCCTGGGCTAGACAGACACATGACATGCTGAGTTGATATGATGCTTGTTTTATTAAAAAAATTACAATCAATTTCCTCTGTTAAGGTGAGATGTGTTAATGATGTGACTGCCTTCAGGCTCAAGTAAATTTACTTACATATGATAAACCCTGGGAACGTTAGTGTGTGGTCACCTTGGAGACAAGCATTGGTGTTTAATTTCAATAGTTCTGACCCAAATATCATCAATCAGTAAGACAACATCAAGTTTTTGATAGGATCTCAGTATGTTGATGTTCATTATTTTACACCATGAGCTATGGCCAGTGAGCCAATTATAAATCTTTTTTTTTTTCACAATTAATTACATTGTGACATTAAAATGAACAAACAAAAAGTCAAAGAGCCCTGCGATGGACTGGCGACCTGTCCAGGGTGTACCCTGCCTTTTGCCCGATGTCAGCTGGGATAGGCTCCAGCCCCCCGCGACCCTGTACGCAGGATAAGCGGTTGACGATGGATGGATGGATGGAAAAAGTCAAAGAGACAAGAAAAAACTTACATCACCCTATTTCCATGGCTGCCTATTGTGAGTATTTTTCACTGCTAAACTATGAACACATAAGGATTATATCCTTAAGGAAAATGACTCCTGACAAACAAATCCTAAAGCAAACAGTCTTGTTGTAAAATGCATCTCTTACTGGCAATCTGAATCATAGAAAAATGGAAAATACGCAAACAATCTTGCAATATGACTGACTGAGTGACCTGTTACCACAGGCATTTCAGACATAATAATTTAAGCAAGGACCTAAATGAAAATCTGTTCTTTAGCCACATCAGCCAAAGCAGTAAATGCAAACACAAAATTACTTTTTCTCCTTCTGTTTGTGTGTTTTTTTTTTATTATTAAGTTTATTCTCAGTCCGCCAGCACAGTCATCACAGTTCAACTGAACTATTGTACTTTATATTCACTGTTGTTGCATTGACTGACGTCAGGTAAAGGTTGCATGAGGTTTACTGCAAACTTTATCATAACCAACACACTTCATAAAAACTTGACATTTCCCCAACTGTAACTTAATTTAGACCAATAATGTTTGCTTGTGCTGAATACAAATGCAGGGGAAACATATTGAGGATACCATTTTTCAACCCAAACAGCCAACCCTAATTAGCTGAATTAAAATGTGGAATTGGTGCCCACATTGACAAAGATAAAACCAGATACAGACCTACACTGACCAACCACATGTCCAACACGTGTCTCCACTTGACCAAATTATGTTGATACCAGTATAAAGGACACTGGTGTAGCAGAAACTAAAATCTGCTGGCTGCAGGTTGAGGCATGAAGAACTGAAGAGAGGGAGAATGGGATGTAAACAGAGGCTGGACACAAACTGTCTCAGGTCTGGATGATTTCACACATGTATTAACACAGACACAGAGACAGATGCACACACAGCAGCTCACTACATAATATTACTTTGTACTTTGTAAGTTTACACACATTCAAAAGTAATTAATCCCAGCTTCCTTTAAAACTTTTAACAGGCAGTGTATTTGCACTTCCCACAAAGACAAACTTGGCTGTAATTCTGCCATCTATATTGACCATTGACACTATTTGAAAATCTGACTAAGACTAACTTTAGCTCAAAGAAGCAAAAGCTGCTGCAGTAAACTGAAATTTGCAAAAATCTTTTCAGAGTAACTTACATAGCATTAGCTTAATTAGGTAGCCTAACTAAATTACCTTATTGTAGACCAAGTAACTCTATCTACTTGTCCAGCTAAGCTAAGTACAAAAGTTAAGTAGCTAGCCCCAAAATCTAAAATTTGACGCCTAAAGACAAATAATATTGATTATTTCAAATCTCATTTCAGAACACAACCCACTCTCTTAGAAATTAGCTAGCTAAAGTTAAGTTCTCTAAATGAGCTTCCTTCAAATATCGCGAGAGGATGAGCAAGCTAAAATCAGTGTGACGTACCTACGCGTTGGAATCATATACTGTGGTTTGAATCCATAGCGTCCTGATGGTCGTCCATGAATGTAAACATCCTTCACATCGGTGCAAAAATAACTCTCTTAATTTTTTCGTTACAAACACAATATACACAACTTTATTGTGCTCCAGAAGTAAGTTGGCCGCTCTCACACTCTTATAAATATGTAAAATAGCCAACTCGAAACTTAGTTTGTTACAGTAGGTTGTGTCCGGTAAATTCCTCCGGTTTGGGGACGCACAAAATTACCTACAAAATGTGCTTTCTGCTGTCACACAGGAAATTGAATGAAACGGAATGAAACCATCCAACCTGTACTGCGTGAACTGTAGGCCTACAATAAAGTGCGTTTTATTTTTCTAAAGCAATTTTAAATAAATAAACATAAAAATAAATAATAGAATACATAATAGCGACACAGAAAACATGGAAGCTATAATGTTATAGATATATACTTTATTAATTCTCTCTGATAAAATAAAATTACAAAATAATTTCAACCTCAAACGGCACTTTCCTTGTTCATAATTATTTAACGTATTGTTAATACATATATCATAATTGTCATGATGAATGAGAAGAATACTATAGTTTAGTAATATTAGATATCAGCTAGAACTGCGTTTAATCATAATGGTAGAAAAGACTAAGCAATACAAAGCTAGATTTCGTTAACAGCATACTATACAATATTCCAAGCGTATGTAATTCAGTTTTTCGGCCACAGCGTGTCGCTATAAGACAGTTTTCGATATTGTCTCCAATGCAAGGATAGGCTTGTCTTTTTCCCCATCACACCATTATAATCTTTGTTTCTATGTTGTATTTATTTCATAAACAGCTGTTCCTTCATGGCCATTTATCCTTTATAAGGTTAATTTGTGTTCCCTTGTGTTCATCCGTAGTCCACCTTGATCTGTTTTAAAGCAGTGAAGAGCATTCCTTGTACAGCACTGTAACAAGTCCATGCCCAGATTTTCACAGTTATTCCCTCAGAAATATTGTCAAGATATCTGCAACGCCTCCTGCTATCTTTTGTCCCCAGTGACAGCAATGTTCCCTGCCTCTTATTGAAGTCCATTTAAAGAGAGAGCACTTTGGTTGTCGAGGTGTGTTTATATCTGTGTACGTGTGTGGGGGTGTCTGTTCCTCTGTCTGCGTGGCAGTTTAAGTGATCGAGCAAGCGAGAGTGTTTTTCTTTACACAGAATACATTCATGTTAACAGTGCGTTGTTTTGGGACTGCAAGCTTGAAAAATAATGGCAGTATGTAAGGTCTTCTTCCCTTCATAAAGGGTCATAGACCCAACCAAACACTGAAAAAAATATTAATCACATCAACTTATAATCACACAGCTAAGTAATTTCCTCTCCCAAGTGAATTAAATTACTAATGTAAAAATCCATATTTTAGTAATTCTAACATTTTTTTCAGAGAACGAAAGCAAAACAACAGATACTATAGCATCCCAGTCAGTCAGATTCCCCTGACTTACTGTAAGCCAAATCTAAGTAAAAGAATAAGCAGATAATTTATTATTGATGGATAACATTTTGACTGTTATTTTAACTGTCTGCAGCAGACCTGTCGGTAGATAGACTCCAGTAAATCTAACAACAAGAAATGAGAACACACCAAATGTGGAGCATTAGGTTTGTGCAAGGCTCGTTCTTGTAGTCAGTGTTTCATAGTTGTGATACCACCTTCAAAATTAATCAACCAGATTGAAATGCCAGTTTAATAAATGTTGTTATCTATTCTTTCTTGCAACAACCATCCCAGTATTAATGCACTTGATACAACTATAATTTTTCTGAGGGTTTCATAAGAAACATTCACATAAATTAAACGATCAAAAAATGTTTAAAGACTCATTTCAATACAGCAAACCTACAAATACACTTAAACATCAGTTCAACATAATCTGTAATTCCATAAATGCAGTAATGAAGTCCTATTGTAGTTGTATTAGGTTGTTTTATCATCTGCTTCTGTCTTCCTCATCACAAACACATGTTATGATGAGTCATGGCTCTCAGTGTCATGCCAACTAAATTCAACTTGATTTGTGTAGTTCAATGAATGGTTATGATTCTCCCAACGGAGTAGTTAAAATGTCACAACTATGCATTGTAAGTCTAAACTACTGCATTAGCTCACACCCACAAAAGATAAGTCGTTTGGATGAACATTTCTTACAGTGTGTCCACATCGCTTGGCAGTGGTCTGTGGAGATTGACAGTGCATTGAGTGCTTGGCAGTATAGGCTTTAGTATTATATTGTGGGCTGCTGCATTCATTTGTTTGTGTGAGTTTAAATAGGGCCTGCATTGTAAAAGATGTTTGTGCTGTGTTAACTTGTATTGCATGGATGGCGTGTTGATATATGTTGTGTGTGTATTTATACGTGTCTGTGTGTGTGTGTGTGTGTATGGCGCATGCCACTAGTTTTTTTACCATGGTCGTATTGATCGAACCTTCTGTTAAAGGGATGCTCGTTAACACACAATTAGCATTCAGATAGAAAATACATCATAAGGATAAAAAGTCATGGTCATTAATTCCTGATGAAAGGAGAGAGGGATAGGGAGAGGGGGGGAGGAAAGAGAGAGAGATAGAGAGAGAAATAAAGGCCTTTTTCAGTATGAGTGATTCCATTTAGGAGCTCTGAGTTCATATAATTATTCCTAATTATTTCTCGTTCTCTCTCCTTCCACCTCTTCATCCTCTCTACCTCCATTTCTCACCCTCTTGACAACCCCCCTCCCCCTCCCCCCACACACACACCTTTTAGAGTCTCCATTTTATCTCCATTTTTCTTCTCCTTCCCTCGTCAGGGAAAGCGCCCCAAAGTCCCTAACATGTCTCATCGTTCATACTGGCCCTCCATCTTAATCCTATTATTTTTCCTCATAGTCACATCCTGTCCCTCCCTCATGGAGTGTTAGTTTCAGAGGATCACCTCCCACCTCCCTCCTCGTTCCTCTCCTTAAGTCTGAAGTGAGAGGACTAGCACAGGCCCCCCCACCCCCACACTCTCCCTGTTTCATTTCCATATTTGTCTTCTCCTCGTCCTCAGAGCTGTCTTCAGCAGCTAGAAGTGCAGGTGTTGAGGTTGGGACTGGCCTCCAGGCTCTCTTCTGGGCTCAGTGGTGGGGGCGACTGAGGGGACTCCAAGGCCAAAGTAGGGACCTGGGATGGGGGCAGCACTGGAGATGCGACCTGGACTGGAGAAACTGAAGTTGGAGCAGTGGTTAAAGAGGCAGCTGGGGACAGTGGGACCACAGCACCTCCTCCACCACCTCCTCTGCCATCCCTCGCATCCCTCTCTCGAAGCAAGTGGACCAGGGCGGCGTGCTGGGCGCTGAGGGTGGCCGAGAGGTGGGCAGGCAGGGTGTTGAAGCCGGCGGTGAGCTGCTCCACCCGTTGCTCCAATGACAGCATCTGACGCTCTAAGTCCTCGCTGCGGTCGTTGAGCTCCGACATAAGCTCATACATGACGCTCTGCATCTACGAGAGGAGAGGAGAAAAGAGGAGAGGTGAGAAGAGAAGAGAAGAGAAGAAAGAGGGAGAGTACACACAGAGTACTTTGAAGAGAGGAGACAGATTGCAAGGATTGCTTTATTAAAGCTTGTTCAAGAAAATGATTTGGGATTGAATAAGAAGAGACAGTAAAAGGGGTTTGAGAGTATAATAAAAGTGGAAAGAGGGTGAGCGCGAGGCTAGGGAGGACTGAGTAAGACACTGAGCAAAAGGAAAAAATGTCCAAGAGGGAGTAGAGAAGTTGGAACGAAGAAGAGGCTGGAGGGTAGTCTCTATGTGGGAGTTATAACAAAGACAGAAGAGAGAGAGAATGAAAGGAAGGCGGCAGCGTGTCCCTGCCTTGCACATCCCGGCCTCCGTAACCATGGTAAACGCACAAGTGGCCAGTTGAGATGGAGTCATTGAGATGGCATAATTGCAAAATATTTGGTGCTAAAGGCATTGCTCCTCGGAAAGACACTAACACACACACCTCCCTCGATCTTTTTTCTCCTCTCAATTCAAGTCTCCATCTCATTCCCTCTCTCTCTTTCACAATCTCTTTCACAATCACATACTCACCCACAGAGACACACACACACACACACACACACACACATAGACACATGTGCGCTCACATTCTCACTCAGACACCCACACAGCAACAGAAAAACACAAGCACTCCCCTCCCTCCTCTCGTTCCCTCCTCGCTCTCTCACTCAGTCATTCCTGTTTTAACACTTGTTCCGGTTGCTAGGAGACACAAAGTCACAGAAACGGTCAGGTCAGCGCTGCAACGGAGGAATGTGATGGTATATTTTGGGGTGGGGAGTGGGGGCAAAGGCACGTTAGATATGAGTTACTAACCTGTACGATGGTTAGTGCACGTGCATGTCCTAAATAATAAAGGGAACAGATGTGTGTCTCACCTTTGAGAGGTCCACTAGTGTGTTAGCCTGATCACTGAGTTTCCTCTGCTCCATTTTTACACTGCGTAATCTGCAAACAGATACATACCCACATTAAATATACAAACACACGTACAAAGTTGAAACCCAGTAAATACACAGCGGGCGGTCCAGAGAGCTAATCCCTCTGGGTCCAGACAACAACTCTGTGGAGCGGTCACCTTGCCTAGTTGAGCTTAATTTCTACCTGCAGTGTGTCACTGGATTTGAAAGTACAAACATAGCAAGCACACAGTGTGCTCTGAAACACTGTAATCTAATACATTGCAAAATTTAATGTTGAAATAAGATTGAGACCTTAAGCTCTGGAGTAAATGAATGGGGTAATTTTAATATTAAGGAACCTTCAGGGGAGTATGACCTGTGGAGAAATAAAATAAGGGGAATGAAATTATATAAAATAAAATAGTCTTTCTTTAAAAATAAGACCTGGCTGACTCTCAAAATGCAATACAGTAATTAATAACTAAATCTGTGTTTTCATAATTTTTCTTTCTCTGTTATAAGTGCACACTGATTTTAGCAGGCTGCACCTCCTTAACCACCCTCCCTGTTTCTCTAACAGGTCTAAACCAGAAAAAGTACTCATATCCCCTTAAAATTACTCGTTCACAGAGTCAGCCACTCATCCACAGTCCACGTGCTAGGTCTCTTGAGTCTGGCTTTTGAAGGCCCTTGTTAATGTTGTCAAGACTAGGCTGAACTATTGAAGATCAAAGGAGCAAGCTACAAAAAAGGGCCACTTAATTTTGATGCTAGAAAGAGGATATCCGGAAACCTTTGAGTAAAACAACCTTTAACAAGACAGCCACCGATGAATTACAATGCGCGATTAAGTTCTGCTATATGTATTTGCATCATCAACAACACCAAGTACAGATGCTATGATCAGAGTGTATGCAATAGTACACAATGCACTGATTATCCAGTCCCACAACTGTATTTGCCTGGAGTGAACCTGCCCTTTAGCAGATGATGATTCATTTTCATGTGTCTCTGTGTGTGTGCGTGTGTGTGTGTAGGGATTCATGCACTTTATCTGATTATCGGCGTTGATTCAACCTGTGGGTGGATAGAAAGTACAGCTGATTTCAAAGCCTTCATCAGCTCAGCGGCACTGTTGCGTGCATGCATGTGTGTGTGTGTTTTGAGTGTGTGGGTGCGTGTAAGTTGTTGTCTCACTGATGTATGGCCTGTAGAAACTTCCGCTGGTGTTTGCGGACCCTGGAGTGGTCGATCTTCTTCATCAGCTTGGTGTGTTTGTAGATGAGCCAGGTTTCCCTTAGCACGTTAGCCGCTGCATTCTTTATCTGCTCCCAGACAATAAACACACACACATACACACATTGTTAGCAACAGGTAGCCCTTGGCAACTGAAGCAGGCAACAGGTTTTCCCAGTCCTATCTTTCTCATTTTCCCTCCATTCTCTATAGTCTGCCTGCAAAGAAAAAAGGCTAAACTACAGTTCTCTTCTAAGAGGCTGCCCTCATTCTCTTTCTACACACGTTAGCTTGCTTGCCAATGCTTTTCAGAAACGGCTCTCTCCTTAGGGAGATTTGGCAATAACAACCAACAGGATTCTCTCCTTCACATACACTTCTCTCTTCTCCCGGTCTGTCTGCAGTTATGTGCCACATTATGTCTTAGACTAACTAAAATAGGCTGCATTATCTTGGCTGGTTGGAAATAATTCACCACAGTACTATTGCAGTTTATTAAAACCTGCGATCCTCCATTTAATTATGACAGCAACTGAAAGAAACAATAGTGGCGTGCTCTTAAACTCACTGTCAAAGACAATCTAAATTCCTGTGGAAGAGACAGAGTACAGAAATAGCCTATGTAATGATGCTCACTTGAAAAAGCCTGATAACCATCAGAGGCAATGGCAAGATTATTATTTATCTCCATGTTACTGGTGATGGAATAGGCTTTCAGTTATTTTTAGTTTGTCCCATCTGAATGTGAGATTGCTGTGATTGAATAAAATACTCATACAAAATGTCAGCGTAGTCAGATTTCTGTGGACAAGGATCGGGATTCTGTAAGGGGTATAGTTGTAACATGAGGAGAGTTGTAACAACACCAATTCCACCAATTAGAGCTAAGATAGGAGTTATGTGATCATTTCAGTATTTACCTACTTCCTCCCCAATCAGGCTTGGTGGTTATCAAGTCTGGAAACAGGAACATTTTTGACCAAGACTATGTTAGTATTTTTTTACTCTTGCAGATAGAATTTTTGACTTATATTAGACTGAAATGTAGTTTCTTAGGCTACATGTGATGCATTTTTTCCTTTCTAATTTCAAACCACTCTGCTAAAACAGCTAGCACTTCTTTAAAAAGTGCAAAACATACAACCAGGGACTTTCTATTTTAATATTTTACAGTGTGCCCTTTGCAGTCTGGGCCTACCAAGCCTGCACTGCAGGGTTACTAGCATTCATTTGTCAGCACTGTGACTAGTTCTTCACTTTCACATGTTGTTCACATGTTGCCGTGTGTATCGGCCAAAGAGTAAAATATAGAAGTGCTTTTACTGCGTACCGGTGAGGACTGGCCCACTTCAAGAGAGAATCAGAGAAGAATATACACACATCGACACACACAGATACAAACATCTTTTTTGTTAGACCTAAGGATGTACAAAGATGTTCGTATTTACATAGCATTTGTGAACAGATGTGGGTACTTTGTATAAAAATTTGAGAACTCAGGCTAAAAAATTCAGCGAGCTATAGTTGCTGACGCAAAAAGTGTTACAGCCGGTCTCCCCTACATCCAATTATATCCATATCTGCTCCTGTATGTTTCATGTACTGTATATCCCTCTATACATATATATATTGCACTGTAATTACAACACAGGGGTCTGACACACAGAAAAAAAAGCGCGGGTGGACACCATAGAGAAGGGAGAGAGAATCTGTAAGGACATAAATTGAATGAGAGACTTCAAAGAGATGCTGAGCACTGAACAAAGAACAATTATACCCCCGTTTGAGGAGCACAAAAGACCCTGGCAGCTTGGCTAATCAGCACCTATCCACCGCAGTCAAGGACTGCTCACATGCACACATGCAGACAAACACACACTATTGGCTGCAGATGAAGAGAGCAGGAGGCCCTGGGCGTTGCAGATGTGTTCAGTTCAGTGACATAGAGAAAGTCAAACCAAAAAAAGCTAATCTGTCATACAGCAAACTTGCTATGTTACCTATCACTCTTAACGACAGTTAACGACCCAAGAACACACTAAGACAGATGCTGGTACACCCCAAAGACCGCACACCCAAACACAAGAAAAGCAATCTAGTGTATGCGGTCCAATGCAGTGAGGAATGCACAGACCTGTATATTGGGGAGACTAAACAACCACTACACAAACGCATGGCTCAACACAGAAGGGCCAACTCCTCAGGTCAAGACTCTGCTGTCTACTTACATCTGAAGGACAGAGGACACTCGTTTGAGGACCACCAGGTGCACATTTTAGACAGAGAAGATGGATGGTTTGAAAGAGGTGTCAAGGAAGCCATCTACACCAGGGTTGAGAAACCGTCATTGAACAGGGGAGGGGGTCTACACCACCACTTATCCCCCACTTACAATGCTGTCCTTTCATCACTTCCCAGGAAACTCAACAAACGTAACCTATTGGCCTCAGGTGAAGATACCAACGATGGTCGTTCAGTCTTGGCCACAGGTAGTCTCAACGACTGTAACGACTGTCGTCACAGCAACAAGGAACACTAACGAACCAGCGGTATCGATGACCCGGGCCAACGACCCCACTGAGGTTAAATAGCTGAGTTTCCCTGCCAGTCAGTCAGAACTGAAGAAGTCCTTTGGATAAGGGACGAAACGTCTTCCAGTAGCTTCAACCAAGTCCAGTTGCCCTTCATTTTAACCTTCGTTGGATAACTATGACCTGGATGACTGAGAATCTTCATAGACATCTTAACGACAGTTATTTTTACAAATGTATTATTTCTTACCTTTTATACAGCTTATTTACTGATACAATTTTAAAATAGTATGTACATCTCATGTGAATAAACCTAACAAAATGGGATGCCATGACAAATGGGATTTTGGATTAGAATCTAGTGCTGGAGTATGAGGTAAATGCTGCTATCCCATGTTTCTCCTCTGAGTCTTAGCTCCAAGTTTGTATCTATAGGATAACAAAACTCCCATCCATGAAGTAAGGACTGGCACTGACAGCGCTGCAAAGATCCTAAAGAGATCTTGATGATATAGCGTTACATCTTTTTAGATAGTATTTTAACACAACATTTTAAATCACAACTTAACAACACAACATAACTTGTCTAGATTATGTTTAAACAAAACACAATATCTCTAGTTTTAATCATGGGCCAGGTTACATTACAAGAGCACATTTAATATCCCTCATATCTACGGGCCCAATGGTAAATTGATATGTCAAATCCTATTTGTCAGTTGATTAATCACTGCAGGGTGTCTGAAATATGATGAATGATGACACTTTGTGTCTGTCTGGCTGGCTTGCTGTGGAAGTTTTCACACAAACTTCCAACATAATATGTCCAGCACAGCAGAGGGAGCCTGTTGCACTGCTTCAGGCCATTCAATTAGATGATGCTCAAGCTTCACCCTTCATTTAAATCCTGGGAACTGCTTCCCATGCAAATACAGGGGACTGATAATACAACACGCATTGTATCTTACAGTTATTTACCACCCAGCACCCTTATTTATTTTTATTTCTCTCTCCTCCTGGTAGTTAATGTAGGTGGTGAGGCAAAGACGACAACTCCATAAAAAAAAAAGACTAAACATGAACCGCTAAGAATACTCCACAAGAAACCACTCGACAGCAGCAGCAGCCATTCCTGGACCATATGGCCTGTACTTGGGCAACCATGTTGGGGCCATATGGCTGGTTTGGGTCAAAGATCTGTTCTGGCTGCTCCCCTACACGGCACACCTTATGGTAAGTACATAAGAAATCTGTTAAGACAAGGGGTTCCCACACCTCAGCATGTTGGGTGGTTCATGGCATATTGTGGAATACAAATCAATCAGTACAAATAGAAATATTTTAGAAATGTCATTACAGACAATACCATCCATCCATCCATTGTCAACCGCTTATCCTGCGTACAGGGTCGCGGGGGGCTGGAGCCAATCCCAGCTGACATCGGGCGAAAGGCGGGGTACACCCTGGACAGGTCGCCAGTCCATCGCAGTACAGACAATACTATTACCACTATTAATAATAACTATTTATATATCGGTATCAAGAACTAAAAAAATAACAATTGGGCTCTGATGCTTTGTTTGGTGCTTACACTGAAAAAAGAAAACCAATCCTGGATTGGATTTTTTGTTGTAATGAAGACATTTTTTTAACATCGGAGGAAAAACAGAGGTGCCTGACCCTTCCAACTCAGGAGAGCAATAATGACTGATGTGTATATGTAATTAGTAATTATGTGATGTGGTGCTAGAGATGCTATCATGTTTTCTAGGAGAGCAGAAAACATAAATAAACGGGCCAATTACCTTGGCAACAATCTCCCAACTCATCCATGTGCCACGGTGACACGTGGCCTTACCTGCTCTGACCTTCCCCTCAAAGGCAAGGGATGAGATGAGTATCACATACACACACAAACATGGTCACACATCCATGAATGCACACAAACACAAGAAAGAAACTCAAACAGATCAATGAAGGGTCACAGAAAATAATGAAATGAAATTTGTCTCCCACTGGTTATATATGTTTTGTGTCGCCTGAATGAGGTCATTTGCTAGATGACTCCCACAGCACACCATAGAGAACCTTTGATGAATCTAGACGGTGCTCCATTTAAAGGAAGAGTACACTCAGGTTCAGTTGGTGGAAAAGTGGAAAACATCGGAAAGATGTGTTAATGCAGTCAGAGTGTGAAATAAATTTTAGTTGTTGTCACAATATACGTCCACGCTAATAATGATCCATCTGCCTTGCGTGTGAATTAAAAGCTGTCAGAAAGTGAGTTATTTTTACTGTGTGCAGTGAAAGCTAGCTTAGAAGAAATCTTCTGGGCTTAGATTGCTCCCATTTGGCTAGTGGTGTAAACACTGAAAGGCATTGCAGCACCTCCTCCTTGGCCAGAACCCAGAGTGCAGTCTGAATATTCAGAGGGTGAAGCTCTGAATATGCCACAGGACTTCTAAAAGTGCTCTGAATTAACCGAAGGTCCAGAGTGGAGGCAGAATACACATTCGGAGTGACAATTTATATATGAAGATCTAACATTTTCAACTGACCTCAGAAACAGACACAGTTAGCCATATTCACACGGTCAGCTGGTGTATTGCTTCAATGAATGGGATTTAATTGACATGGCAGTGCCATCAAAAGGAAGGAGACACTATTCCACTCCACTGACTTAGTGCGTACGGTATGTGCGTCCGGCTTTTTCAGTGTCGAGAGCACTCTTTGAAGGTTCAGGGCCATGTTCTGACCAGATGGACATTCAGCAGTGCTCTAACTTAACCAATAGTATGGTGGAGCCACAGTACACTGCTGCAACCTTTTAAACACATGTTTTAACACTCCTTCAAACATGCGCAGTTACAACCTCACACACGCTCTATTTAAAGGCTATGTCAGCTGTTATTCAATTAACATTCGTATTAATCCTATCAAAGGCCAAGGCACACTCCACTTCACTGAACTCTACATGCAGATTAGCACTGTGCAACAAACTCGAATGATGTTTCTAAAGCACATCATCCTCCCTGATAAGGTTATTAGGTCCTCTGCCACCAATCTGCACCACACAAGATTTCAAGATTTCAACTTCAGTTTTGTCGCGCACGTCTAAAGATCTGATCTAAGCATAAAGAGCAGAGAGCACTCAAGTGATGGAAAGTGAAAATATTTTGAAGTATGTTTCAGGCAGTGTCAAATATTACCACACATATTTGGACTAAAAATGACCTGTGTGGTACGAAGATGAAGGACCAATTCCAAGAAGAAAAGGTTTATATTACTGTGAGGTGTAGAAGTTTCTTTTCTTGCAGTCTTAGGTCTCTTAGCTCTGTACTATTCAGGTACTTGTGGACAACCACACTCAACACTGTTTTTAATAAAACACATGTAAAGACAAAGATCAACAAAGATCAAACATTACCAGCAGCACAGTCCACTGGACTGGCTAATAGCTTCACTAATTTAATTGACATTCTGCAAAAGGAAGCCCACCAATTTATTGAAGTAGAAAAGCAGTGTGTGTGTGTTTTTTTGGTCTATTTGTGTGTGTGTGTGTGTGTGTGTGTGTACATACGATGAAGGCAGGATGTAGAGTCTATTGTTGCATTATTCATTATAAAGCTGTGAGTGATTGTATTCTCTTGTTACGATGATATGGCAGAGAATGGCCCCAGCCATGTAAATCAATGCGCATACAACAGCTTCAATCATTGGTCTCTCGGTAATAGAGGGCAGGAGACAATTACCACAGCATAAACCGAAGACCCTTTGAAGGAAATGTCACCAAGCAGCATGCTGTATTCTGTTGAATGTAGCTGCTATATGTCACCTCCCTTACTTAATGACTGGCTTTGTTAAGACTGAGATTTACTGGATTGTGTAGCTCAGCTAATTTAAAAAGCAAATTATGTTATGTTTTCAAATGTCATCACAATGACGATGCTAACATACTAACATGGACACAATGACAACATTCATTCGGTCATCAGCAGTCATTAGGATTCATCCTCTGGGGACCATACGTATCTTCACAAAACATTTGTGATAATCCATCCAAAAGTTGCTGGAATATTTCAGGACTGAGCCTGAACAGACTCTGGTTGACCACAGCCTGCAGGAAGGTGAGTTGAGAGCCCGGCTACAACAAGGAGTCTATTCGGTTTCTCTGTCAATAGCTTAAAATGGCTGAAATTATTGATCACCCAACCACGTTCAGTCACCCAGATACTCTGCTGCCAGAATGTACCCTACATATTTGATATGGGAGCTATTTTTAAAACTTGGGTCTTTCAACTGTATGAAAAATTGAAAAGGACCGGAGGAGGGAGGGAGTGAGAGATGGAGGGAAGGAGAGGGCAAAGGAGGGAGGAGAGGAGAGACAGTGACAGATAGAAAGAGGGAGCGAGAGAAAGGGATTTACTGTAAGAGAGACAAATGTCACAGGAGAGGGGAGGTGGGATGGTGGAGGGGTGGCCATGTGGGAGGAAAAAAGATCGGAGAAAGAAAGAAAGAGAGAAAAGGTAAGTGAGGCAGCAGAACAGAAAGGACGAGAAAGAGATGACCTTTTATTCAAATAACATGGCACACTGTCACAACAATACAGGGTGTTAATGTGATGTAGTAGTTGGGGAAGGTGAAGGAGGGCCAGTGAAAGGACAAGCCGTTTCGCTGGGCTCTCAACCACCTCGTCAACCCCAAAAGCAATCTGTAGATATAGTACAAAATCACCTAAAGGACGATAAAATATATATAATATAAAAAAAATCTGCATTTCTAAACTACATTTCTGTTAGAGTCTGAATGGCACATGCACAAAATGTGTGCTTTCTTTTAAAGATCACAGTTTTGCTTTATTTATGCAAGACACACTCATTCACACCACACAAGCCTACACACCCTCTTGGTGAGTTGCGTGTCCATCATGAAGTTGTGTACGTGTTTCTCAGCCTTGGTCAGCTCCAGCTTCCTGGCTACCACAGCAACCACCAGAGCCGTACAGCCAGCACCCTGAGTGAGAGAGAGGGAGGAGGAGGAGAAAACCGAGCACTGAGTCAATCAGTAAAGAGGAGGAATTGGTAAATCGGTGGCTTTTGGCTGGGGAATTAGCCGATATGATTGAAGGGAGCGTGGACAAACATGAGAAAGAGAGCCGCACGACAGAAGGAGAAGTGAACGGGAGAGAGGAGAGGATTAAGAGGGAAAGCTCTGTTCAAGATCCACATTTCCTCATGTTGACAGGGAAGCCAAGTCTATTTTCACTTCTTTCCATCTGGTGTAAGATCCCTTCTATATTGCTTCTATATGAAGCTGAAAAATATGCCCCTTATAGACAAAAAACCCCCCCACATCAAATATTGACACCACGTAATTTAATTTAATTAGATGCTGTCAATCTGAATTACATGGTGTCAGTCTTCTCCTGTCACTGGAGGCTTGAGGCCTGCAGGAAGTGTAAAACACAGACAGTTTGTCTGTATTCCTGCTCGACCCACATGGGACATATGGCAAATTCATTTGGGAGAGAGTGACAGCAGTCTCTCAACCAGAAAGACATGCTTGAGGAGAGAAGAGGAGCGGTGACACAGGGAGGAAGACGGACTTAATTAACTTTCAGATTAGACGCTGCTTTCAGTGGGCTGCTGAGTGCTCACAGGTTCCTCTGAAGGGGCAGGCACTGAGAGGAAAAAAGGGAGAATGGAAGAAAAGATAAAGAGAGTGAAGAGCTACAAGTAAATATAAATGGGGAAGGAAGGAACATGTAGGGTGGGTTTGGAGAGAGGGATGAATGCAGGAGGCGAGGGTGGGAGCATAGGATTGGAGGAGAGAAAGATGGAGAAGAAGGCAATGTTAATGAGGTCACATATCTCCTGATAAGTAATGAATTAAGATTATGAGTGTTTAATGAAAATGTACGAGTGCTCTTCCTTCCTGCTTGTGAGCGTGTGTGCAACTCACAGTGGGGGAGAAAGCCTGAGAGAGAGTAAAATAGATATAAGGAGGGAAACATAGTGAGAGAGCGAGGGCGAGGGAGCATGCAACATTTTGAAGCGTGTAGGAAATAGCAAAGACTTTGTGCACACTCTTGAAAGATAAGAAAGGTCTGCCAAAAATAACTTTGGCTGGGTTCAGTAAAATGTAACTCACAAACAACCATTAGTGCCCACGTCTATACACTCATCCACTCTATTTGTATTTATTCAAAAACTATGAATAAAACATGATGAGAGCGAATGGAAAACCCATGGAGCATTTATACATGTCTGTTTTTTAGAGACTCCAATATGTACGAGTGCAGCGCGATGTGCATGTAGCCAACTGTGTATATGCGTGTGCGTTCAAAATTGTCCTCCTCAGTCAGAAACAGTAGGTGCTTATTGGTTTGTCAAGGCAGGCTGTGTTTGTGTGTGTGTGTGTGTGTGTGTGTGTGTGTGTGTGTATATGAGAGTTTGTTTGTGTATACGCCTGCATCCATTTGATTTCAGCAGGGTTCCCTGTGCAATCTCCACAGAGTGACACAGCTGATGATGGCTGTGCTGCTGTGTTTTTTGTTTCATACGCCTGGGTGTTTCCCTCGCTTCCTCCACCACCGTGCAGCCATCAACGTAGCTGTCAGAAAAGGGTTGGAATCACCACACTACAGGTAAAAACCAGCATTGTTTTGGCTTCATGCAAAAAAAAAAAAACTCCAAACATAGGAAAAATAGTTTCCCAAACAGGGCAGTGGGCACACATAGAGAAAAGAGGGGAACACAAAAAAATGTGAAGTTTAATTTTCTTAATTAGTGTGCACATAACAAGTACGTAGGGACAGAGAAAAGCACAAAATAGGTTTGAAATGGCAGCTCCCTTAATACATAATTATACTTATAAGCAGAACAACACTTCATAATATTATTCTAACCAGAAACACAGGAATTAAGGGAATTCCCTGACTGTTAAGCTAATATACAGTATTTATCAATAATTTACCTTCCCCTATGAAGAAATACTTTCTATAATTACATCTGTGTTTTACGTTCATTATCTGTTAATTTATCTGTTTCCATTTTATCCTGCCCACAGGGAGAGTTATACTGTTGCTAAATACAACACTTATTGAACTACATTATAGTGTTATAAACCTTTTATTAAACATTTATACACAGTTTCCAAATGCTAAATGGGGAGGTTAAATAAATTAAAGTGCATACCAACATGCATGAACATTCATGAACTGATTTATCTGATATGATACATGCATGTTTTGCTGTATATAAGGACAACATGTTGTGGTAGTCTACCCTACCACCATCCACCCACCAGCAATGACACACTAACACATACACACTAACACCTAGCCTTGGGGCAGTACTTTTCAACACGGTTGCCTTTCATGTGTTGTCATAGTAACAACGGTGACGATTTCTCCTATAGAAACTCATTACAATAATTCTCAACAAAGAAACAAATCATATCCGGTTCTCTGCCCTCTTCATCCGTGCCCGCCCCCCCTTCTCACCTCCACAGTCTGTTTTGCCACAACTTGCTGCGTCCGGTCTCCCTCACCAATACAAGCCTCACCTTTCTCGCTCTACCTGCATCTGCACTCCTGCTCTGATGATGAACGAAAATAAACCACTCTGAACACAGTGTGTGTGTGTGTGTGTGTGTGTGCGCGTATGTGTGACAGGAGAGGAGAGGGTGTGTGGGAGTCATACTAAGAGTGTATGTCAAGTTCTGTGTCAGTGTTTGTGTGGAGGATGCAGTCTGTAACAGTGGGCTTGCGACGTTCTCTATCCACCCTCTGTTTTGTGTCTCTGTGTGTGCTAACATGATAGTAAAACTTGTACTCTGATTGGATGATTCACACAGCAAATGGGGGTCTGTGTGTGTGCACGTCTCTGTGCATGGGTGTGTTTATTCACACATTTAATGGACTATTCAGTAAAAAATTTAGGTGAGCTGGCAACAGTCAGAGAGGTTAGACAGACACAGTGAAGATGAAAGAATACTGTTAAAGCTACCGAGGGCAGCCCTCTATGTATTTCACTGTTGCTGCTGTTTTGATCCACATGGTAATAAGGCTGATTCCGGCACAACAACCCTTCTCCAATCCCTGAGCTGCCCTTATGTCCGCCTTCAAACTCCTCAGAGGGCCTTTTCACAAAACCAAGATGGGGGATTAAGCCAGGATTTTCCAGATATCCTGGCTGAATTAAGCCGTGACTGTGTTTCACGAAAGCAAGGGCACATAAATTACCATGGTGATTTATTCTGTGCAGCTAGCCTGCTCCAGACCAGGCTAACAGCCAGGCTTAGTTAATCCTGGTGCCTTGTATGTTCAGTCATATGTTCAGTTAATAAAAGCACATAACATAACATAATTTTTATATAATTTATATAAGTAGCACGGGCACAGTAATAAAACAGCGAAAAAAAGGGTGGCAGACAATAGTGAATGTGTGTGTTGCTAAAAATATGCTCTTAACTGAAACTGGAGCACTGGACGTTAATATGTCACTCAAAAAATGTATGGCACACACACAATATAGGATATATGGCATATATCAGACTCAGAAGGAGCTTTATTGCCAACTAGTGTTTTACACATACGAGAAATTTTCTTTCATGATAAGGTGCTACATGTAGACAAACACACAGTGCAACATTGTGCACAGTTTATTCATGAAACAACAGGGAGATGTTTTTTGACCTTTTTTTTTCTCCCTGGGATCCTCTGCGAGCTTAGGAGAGAAAACAATGATTAATACATTGTGTTACAGTCATGCTTAAAGTGTGCATTGCAATGACCACTTCTCTTTTTAGTTACTGGAACTGTGTGTAAAGTATGCTGCACAAGTCCTTTCCATGTCAGCATCAATGAATCTGTGATCGACCGTGTGGTCTCTTGAAGAAAGCTGTTGACGCGCATTTATCTGAATTACTTACACCTGGCTTGACATAGTCGCTCATGGTTGCCCAATTTCTGTTATGACTTTTGTTTGTTTCCCTCTGTTTTAATAAATAACATTTCCACCTTACCACATACTTCTGGTTAATGCTTACGTCTCCTCTACCCCTAGCAAGCTGGGACGTAACAATACACATGCAGGTTTTGGGGAAGTAGCTTGTAAGAAATACAGACACCAAAACCATCTATGTGACCTGAGCAGATGATTCCAGCCATTGGTGCACTACAATGACAAACAGCAAATTCATTATAATGGGTTAAAAACTAATAGTACATTATTTTCCAAAACAGTGCTAGTAAGCACAGTGAAGTAAGTTACTTTTGATTTTGAGAGTTATGTTAAGGGCCTTCTAATTCACGCTCTTGATTTATCTATAACCATCATCCATAAATCATCACAGTGAACTGCATCTTAAGGCACTTCTATACTGGCTTCAACATTCAGCCATGGTGGTTGCTACTTGACAATAGGCACACTTGAACAAAACACACTTAAGTCAAGTGCAAAAGGACTAGGCATGTAAGTGTGTAAACGATAGACAGCCGCATTAATGGAATTGATAATAAAATGTTGTTCTAGCAGCTTATTATCTTATTTCCTCAAAGAACAACAAGCAAATCAGAAGCTCTGCTGTTTGTTTTATAATCACTGAGCCAGTGGTCACACCATTTCACATCTTACCATGTAACTTGACTGATCTGAGGACTGTTTAGGACTGTTTAAAAATGTTAAGTGGTGCTCTTCATGTTGCCTTTACTTTTCATTCACTTTAACAAGCTCAACTACACTGCTGGCATTATTTCTATGAGAAAGGCTTATGCGCAATGATTCCCTCAGGTTTTAAAAATATAACAAACATGACAAATTCTTCCATGGCATTATGTTGTTAATGAAAAATGACATTTCAAATGTCTCATCCGGCCTTCATCTTTTTGTAGGAATGCCATTTTGAGAAACACATTGATAATGCAGTACCTCATGCATCACATTATTATTGAAAGTGCGTTGCTCACTGGCTCTGAATAGGCTACACATAGAGTCAAACCACGGGTCACAGGAGGGGTAGGATGTTGATCAGCCTGCAAATCACCCACCCAAACAAGCAGTGGAGGGAGGCTTCGGCAGACTACGCTGGATGCAGCGTGTGAGAGAAGTAGATAAACAAATACAAGACATGCCAAAGCTATCAACTTTGCCATAGCATGCTGATCAGTATTGGGGAATATGTCGGTCTTAGGAACGTCCTTAAAATCGCAACGCCGGCGGTGGAGGGTAACCATGGCAACGGTTTCTGTGTCCTACATAGCTGTAGCCTTTTTAACTGAAGTTAAAATTATAGGCTACATAACTTTACATGATAAGCCTACATCTAGTTTTGCGGAGACGATCTGTCATGCAAATTCCCTCCTGTTGATGCCCCAATAACTATTTAGTAAACAGTAGATTTTTTAAATAAACATCGAGGATCAGTCTCTCTTCCAATGAATTGTGCTGTGCGCCGTCAGAACCGCAACAGTTTCACTGGAACGCGCCTGCTTGTCGCTACACCTTATGCTCGACCTCTTCACTTCACCTCAGAGACACTTGCTACTGAACATAGACTGTTTATGGTGCTCCACGATAAACGAAAAATATTGATGCTGATATCTGTTCAGAAAAAAACACAAGAAAACTGGACTCTGATGGTAGGCTAACTCACCTTACCTTACTTGTTTTAAGTGTTTGCAAACCACATTTTATTGCACTTATAGCAGTACATTTAAATTTAAAGTGCACACTACAATTTTGCACAAAACAATGCGATTAATCACAAAAAAATCTAATTTTAAACGTTGCCCATCATTAATTCTTACATAACTTTCTTCACCTTTAAAGTTTTCTGTTTCTCTCTGTACTCTCCCTTTTGACATCACAAAACACGTGGCACATGGTGTCCAATGAGAAAAGTACTCCCAGGTAACATATTATTATCGTAGCTTACATTGAGTTCTATTTTTTTCTTTCCTGACCTTCTAAAAATCCACAAATACCACCATACTTATGAGGGCAGTTAATTTGAGATAACATGACATTTAGCTGTAGAGCTATTAAGACTTTTTTGCATTTAAGAAGACACTAATTACCTCCAATCATTAAGAACAGTGTATCTTAAAGCCACAGCATGGAAAACGATGAATGGTGTCTACATTCAAACTGCTAAATGACCAGTTTCCTTTCCTAACCAAAAAAAAAAACTAGAAAAGAAAAAGGCAGTTCATGAGACAAAGCCAGAAAACAAGCCTGAAAGACTGAAGAGAAAGAAATAGTTTGAGGAGGGAAGTGAACACCTGTGAAGTGAAGCAAATAGAGGAGCAGCTTAAACACTGATACCAACAGATGGACGGTGGATCGAAATAAACAAATGGCTTCAGGGAAGGAGGGATGGACAGAGAGGAAAAGAGAGATAGAGAGATAAATAGAAAGAGAGAGACGCTAGAGAGGTAGATGGTGGTACAGAAAGAAAATTAAAGAGAGATAGAGAGAGAGAGTGGGAGGACATGGCACACGGAAAGGTGGGACCTTCATTATGCAATGAGGACAGACAAGGGAATAACACGCATAGACACACAAACCACTAACGTGCTCTTGTTTGCACGCCTACACACCCAAAACACACAGAAGCACAGATGCAGGCTAATTCAGGGAGGATTGCCCAAATTACACAAATGGCAGAATTTCTCTCGCAAACGACAGCATGCTCTCTAATCTGCTGACCTTTGAACGAGGCGAGGACAGCACCGAGGGGAGGGAGAGCGAGAGATAGAAAGAGAGGGGAGAGAGGGAGGAAACATACTGACCATGATTCCTGTGAGCAGACAGACTCCTTTGCCACAGTAGGTGTGAGGAACCATGTCTCCATAGCCGATGGACAAGAAAGTGATGGATATAAGCCACATGGCGCCAAGGAAGTTACTGGTCACATCCTGGGCATCATGATACCTTAAAAAGAAAAATTGTTCACGTTCAGAGGATAAAGTCAGTCAATAGTAAAATATATGAATAAACAAAAACAACATAACTGGCCCACTGGTCCTATCTGCAAATGTGGACGTCAAACCTGAAAGACGAGTCATTCAACTTTGCCGGACACAGAACATAAAACATATCTGAGGCTCTTTCCTCCATTATTCCTGCCCTGTTCACAACACTGTTGCCATAGCAACCAAACGTGGTGCAGATCTTAAACAAAGTTGTTTTCACAAACACTATTCGACAGAAACAAATGAAAATTTCAGCCTTGGATGTTGTACGTTTGCTCTGAGCATGCTATTTTCTAGCCTGGAGGGACACGCTCTTAAAATTCTCAAATTTTCACCATGTCTAAACCAGTTTAATTGAATTTTATTCGTGTTTATTTTACCTTTGTTAATTTGGTTTGGAGAGGAAATGCCAATTAAACTTGGATGTGGACCAAGCAGGCTTCCCAGCAGCTGCGCAATGATGCATTTAATCAAGCTTATTAACCAACTGACATTTTCCCGTATTTCCATGATTATTTCCCAAAGCATTAGAACACATCAAAAAGGGTGGTTACTTTTTGCTTTTCTCTTGATGGCACATCAATAATATTAGATTACTCATAAAATCAGATCATCAATCTTTAAATATAACTGGACAATTTGATTTACAGTTCAAAACAGTTTCTCTGTAACAGTGAGATGGTTATTTCAGTCTATTTTATTTAAATTTAAGTAAAATATGTATTCTTATAGAAAAAACTTACTTTAGGATATAAACCCCAGGAGAAGTTATACTATAAACCCCACAACTACTAAAAGTGCTTTGCAAGATAATGAAAGGACGGGAGAATTTTATTTTAACCCACTATTATATCTATTCTATTATATCTACTATTATAACAGCACATTGTCATACATTTATGAATGTACATGTCAAAAACCAATACTCTTCCTTTGAAAGATTTGTAACAAGTGTATAAATGATGGATGACTTATTAATAATATAATATACAACAGTTGTAATCATGACATATGAAGCATTTGTGAATTTTATTAATTCACTCCCAATGACTGAGTAAACATGATCCACCGATGAAGGTCATGATATGAAGCTGAAAACTCTGGGAGAAATGTGGACTTTGAGTCAACATTTTTGGTGAATACGCTGAATGGCTTTCTTGCCAAGACCAAAGTCCTTATAGGCGAGTCCCGACACTCGGCAGCCATCTTGGTAATGTCTCCGAGCAGTTACTTTGGACGAACATGAGCAGGCCCCTATCTGAATGAACAGGGAGAGAGCCATAACTGGTCACTGGGACATAAAAACTGCATGTATAGAATCACCACTAAAATCTGATAAAAAACACTGAAAAAGTTTGTTGACTTTTCCCCAAAATAAGGTTTAAAAAGCTTTTTTTCACAACACCAACACCAATTAGGCTCTATCCAGAGTGCCGGATACATGACACCATGAGCTCATCCCACTGAAGCGCTTGAACAAATGCTATGCTAATTGAAGTTATGGATACAGTCATTATATCGTATATCAAGTTTATAGAAGGCAACCTGGTATTTGTACTGTACATGAAATCTCATCTGGTCACACACCTGCTCCTCGCTGCCACCACAACATTTGAAACGTTCTGTGCACTTACGTCAGAAGAACCACACAACTGGATTACTAGGTTTACTGGCTTGGCTGTTAAAAAAGCAGACGGTTAGCAGATGGGGAGGGATGTGTGCATACAACCACCATCTTTGGCGTTATATCCTTTCCCCATAGAATTCTATTCAGCATTCTTTAAGTGGTGTGTTTCTTTCTAAATCGCTAGAATATTGATTCCACTCCACAAATACATGGCTATCGCCAGCAGCTAGTTAGCTCACCTTAGCATAAACACTGGAAACAAGGGGAAACAAAGGTATATTTGCTTCCAAAGATAACAAAATCCACCTACCAACAACTCAAAAGCTTACTACTTAAAATGTTCAAAAACAAAACAAAACAGAAGCTAACCAGCTGCTGCTGTGGCTTTAAATTTAAAGGCCACTCATGACAGTGGTATCAATCTTCTCATCTAACAATGTTATGTCCCAAGATAGGATATCTTCTTTTTTTTGTGGACAAAAAAAAATAGTTTGAAAAGCTTAACAACACACTGTAAGGATTTGTTTGTGTTTGTTAATATTGTGATTTTGACTATGTTATCTTGTGTTATGAATAATTCATTCATAGGTTTATACACCAGTTTCAAGTGCATCATCGGCAAAGGTATAGTTGTTCACAAATTATCAAATATTAATGTCCTAATATCTGCTTCAAAAGGTCCGGGATACTGCAAAAACAAAAAAGTGTGTACACTAATTATAAATGCTAAATGGTAGGTTTAAAATAAAGTGTCTTTGAGGACACTATTATATTGCTGATTTATGAGATAAAATGGACAAACGAAGTAACAACTCCATCGCCTGGATCAAATTAAGTGTACAACTGTTAAGAAAGCCTCATAAACTGAAGTTTAAAGATGGATTATGTTGCACACATGTCCGAGATTATATTTCCTGCCAACTGAATTTAATTGCTCATTTGAATTCCTCTTCAAATCAAAGTCCAGCACTATGTCTCATGCACGCACACACACAAAAAAACACACACACACACACACAAACAAACAAACACACCTGAGCGAAACAGTTCTGTTACTGACCTCTCGCATACTCGTACGGTCCAGGCAGCAATGATCCATAGAGAGATGCTGAAGACCAGCAGCACCGTCCCGGGGCAGATAGTCATGAGGGTTTTCATTACAAACCGTGTGTTAAAATGCACCTGCAATGTACACACACACTCAATACAGCAGAACTGATAAATGACATTGTAATACACATTTTTACCTCATCCTGCACACTGTTTCCTACACAGATTTGATGTTTTAATAATTAGTCTTCTGAGTAGGTGTCGATAGCAGCAGCACTCTCCACTGTAATTGGAGTATTGGAGTCGAGACCTCTGACACGGGTCAAACTGCAACCATCTTTGAGTAATTGGCCTATATCAGTGTAGTTTTTATCTGTGGTGCACAAGTCGTCAACTTCTGGCAGATGAATGATCTGAGAGCAATGATTGAGCCCCGGAAGGGTTAAGCAGCTGATAAATGAGTTATCATGTTAGAGCTGTACTGCAGTGGCAGCTTCACCTCCACTCACCATCACTCGCCTGAGGGTCAGAATAGTACCATTGCAGATACACTCGCAACCCGCTAAATTACTCATCTAAAATCTATTCCATCTCTCCCGCTGTCCTCCTCCTCGTGGTTTGCATATTTCCACCCCGCACTACATCTCTACATTCTGATTTTACAATAATGTTTATCGTTTAAAGTCATTACAAACCTGGACCAATCATTTATTGGATGGCTCGTACAAATTTCTCCGCACTCTTATTGCAATCTCATTCGACTCCTTTCTTTTCATGCCCCATTTGAGACGTATGCAATATCTTGTTCCCATTTCACATTCATATCTCATATTGTATTATCAAAGATCCACCACAGCTTACATCTAAGTCTCTATGCACAGCGACAACAAAGGGAGAAGGAGGGGATTTGAACAGGTAGATGAAAAGGAACAGGGTGACTTGAAGGACATAGCGGAAGGAAGGACTTGAGATCGTTGGAGAGATAGAGGTCAAGAATGAAAGGGATAGTGCTGACACAGATTTAATTCAGAGGAGAGCGCTCTTGACCATAATGCCTTTACAACTTCTTCACCTCTTTCTGGCTATCTATGCACACACACACACTTGCAAGAACAAGACCTTTCTGACCTTATTTAGGGCACCTATACTCCTGGAGGAGGCATCGGTGAAGAGTTTGCTGTGTAGAAGCATTACTCTGGCGATGAGGTAGAGGCGCAGGAACATGGGTACACTCAGCACCATGTCCACGTCAGCCTCGGCCTGCGATGGTGTATACGAGAAAGCAAGCCGCGCCCGCCACTGAAACTTAAAGTCCCCAGGCACGGGGTGCACCGCAGACACCAGCAGCTCCAGAGCGATCAGCAGAACCCTCTCCATAGTCATAGCGATGCGCCAGTCGTCCGCTCCGTTGTCGATGACGAACAGCTGCGGGGACAGAAAGGACATGAGGAGAGTTTAAAAAAAGGGAACATTGTTTTAATGTGTCGCTGTGCAAACTTTTCATCACGATCCTATGCTGGCACAGTTCACTCATCAGTACAGCTGAGTGATCTGATGACTAAAGGGACCAGCAGTCATTTAGAGTAAATGTCTCTTTTCCAGGATGTAAAACACCATCCATCTAATCAGTAATCTATTCAGTTTCCACACAGTGCCTTGGCTCATTTTCACATAACCTACAACTCATACTAAAATTAAACCAAAGATTGCCAAGTCATTTGAAGCTCTTCAGCAAAACAGGTAGCTAATTATCACAATCACAACATTTTTCTGCAGAAAAAGACCACTGTGCCAGTATTTCTTCCAGTTGCATGAGCATGTGCCTAATAATGTTACTTTTATTGCAGTCTTCCCTCCCTGTATGTTGATGTTTTGCATTTGTAATTGCTGTGGTTACTCTCGATAATGTCGCCAAAGCCGTTGTTATAAGGAAGTGGTAAGAGCAGGTTTCATTACACGGGGCCCTCCTCCAGACAGGGCTGACAGGAACTGGGGGGTGGAGGGGTGGGGGGAGGTGGATGAGGTCGGGTTGATGAGAGGAGAAGGCGGTGGAAAGAGAGATGGATGAAGTGCAAAGGAAATGAACAGATAAAGATAGGAATGAGGAAATATCAGGGAAAGGAGGACACTGCAAAAAAAATATATCTTTTTTAACTCATGTTAGTCTTTTTGAGTCTTATTTTCTTATAGTCTTATATTAAAAGGAATTTGCCACTGCAGTAAAATTATGTCAACATGTTTCTACAAAGAACTTTCTATAATTTTTTTAGAAATGTATATCTGTAAACAAAAAATAATGCTTGATAAAGATAAAGGCAAATAGGAAACAGGTTGGAATCTTGCAATTTAGCTGTGGAATTGCATGTATTTCTTTCATTTATTAAATATAAAAAATAAACATTTAAGACTAAAAAAAAGGTCTTGATTGGATATTCTTGCAGTGGCCAGAGAAGGTTAAAGAGAGAGAGAGACGCGCCACATAGTGCCTAAAAGAAAAGCCGGGACACAGTGAGAAAAATGAGGAACTCCCCGGCTGTAAATCAGCAGAGTATGAATGCTATACTGCCTCGAGAAACAGCCAGTGCTAACAATTGCTCTTTATCACATGATTCATCTCAAGGGCTTTTAGCCCACACAAACATTTATTTAGAAAACAAAAAATACAATAACAGGTAAAACATCAGAACAAGTGAGCATGACAGCCAGCTGGTCACTGTCATGATGAAGGCAGACTGAAGCTCTAAAGCTTCCTCAACCACCTTTGGATACACACGCTGCATATTTCATCATTATCTAAATCTATCTCAGCAGGATGTTTGCGTTTTCCTTGTTATACTGTGTGCACACATGTAGCCAACATGTGCGCGCACACACACACACACACACACACACACACACACACACACATAGCCTACGTACAGTGTGTGAGTCATTGTGTAATCTATCATTTGAACCACGGGTCAAACGCTGGCTGTATTCTTTAATGATTTCAGTGTGTATGTGTGTGTGTACTGTACTTGTGTGTACTTGTGTGTATTTATGTGTGCCTGAGTGAGTTTGAGAGAGAGAGTGTGCAGACCCGGCCTCGTCATGGTGACTGTTGCCAAGGCGACAACATCAAAGAGCAGCCAAGCTTAATTAGGATCCCCAGCGCGAGAGAAAGAGAGAAAGAGAGAGAGAGAGAGAGAGAGAGAGGGAGGGAAGAAGAGTGAGGGAGGAAGAGGGAGTCAAAAAGAGAGAAAGTCACAGAGAGACAAGACAAGAAGAAAGAAAAAGGAGATACAGGAAAAAATGACAGAGAGGTGTGTGTGTGACAGCGAGTGCAGAGCTACAGAGAGGAAAGCACAGACAGGTTGTCTAACACTCATGTTCTCTGCACAGACTTGCAATGGTTTATGTGTGTGTGTACTCACATTTTGGGAACAAAAAATATAAAATAAATAGTTGCACAGTCACATTACGGGGTTGCAACCAAGACATTCTCACTCCCGTCTTATCACATATGGACGCTTGGTCAAAACCCTTTGGTATCGATTATCAAAGCCCTGGGTACCCCTTTGATGTTGATTTTCAACGGTTAGGGCTCTGTGGTCAAGTTAGCAACAATAAAATATGCAAAGTCCGGTCAGACTTTCAAGATAAAACGTTAACATTGCGAAACATCCCAGAGAGAAGCTTCCGGTCTGAGATGTGAAGCGAACGCAGAAGTCCCTTAAACCTGCATTCTATCAAACAGCCAGCAGGGGGCGACTCCTCTGGTTGGAAAAATAAGTCAGGCTCCATTAGAAATAATCGTAAAAAGACCTTACTTCTCACCTGATTTATTACCTCAGTAAACACTTTCATAAGGAGTTTATCGTAAAATAAACACCAAGCCGCTGTGATAATATCCTTTACCGTCCAAAACTGGCACTACAGGGCTTCCCCCACTGCATTAAACTATGACGCTATGCAGTTCCACAGTTCCTTATAAACTAACGCTGACGTGGATTTCATGGGAACTTACCTCCCATTTGGGGACAAAAAAGCTGCTTCCCTTAAGGTAAAGTACTGAATTTCATGCAGGGTTATTGTCCTCTAAGTAAAAATAAGTTTGTGTGTGTGTGCATGTGAGCCAGAGAGTAGGGCACCAAACTCCATTCATTCATTCATGTTTGCCTCTGCATGAGACAGAGCCACACCATCAGCCCTCTCTTTTTTTTCTCTGTCTACCTTCTCTCTGTTTTTCCTCCTTCTAACATCCCTTACTCCCCTTCCTCCTCTCTATAAATGACATATTTCCAAATCAAAACGGAGGTGATCCAGTTTCTTGCCACTGGAGGAAATGAGTGCTTCTCCCTTCCTCTTCCCCCAGCCCTCCCCTCCTGTCTTCTCCTCCCTCAAGCTCCTGCTGTCGGTCTTTTCCTGGCTAAATCGCCACAAGGAAGGGATAAATAATTAAATTCCATTAGGAAAGCAATCTGTCAATGGGAGTGAGTGAGTGCCACTGCCCCTACATGACCAGGACGTAAGGAGGGAATGAGGCAGGAGAAGTTGGGAAGAGGAAAAGTGGGTAGGGACTGTCTATGTGTGTCTTTAAACACAAACTGTCAACTCTATCAGGAAAAGATCAGAGAGGAAGGTCAGAGGACAGCAAAGCTAAATAAACTAAGACATAAAGAACAAGCCCGAAGGGAAAAATAAACAAGATCATGCAGGGGAAAAAGTGTCTTCTGTTATTTTCTTAAATTTAACAAAACATGACATCACAGTGCAGAGAGCAAGGGACAAGGGAAGGCAACGGAAAGCAGACAGGACAGAGGTAGGGCAAATTAGAGAATGGGGCCAAAAAGGAGTAAGGTGTGAAAATGACAGCACCGAAGACAAGCTCAGGTCTCATCACATGTGAAGGTGTCAGGACTGAGAGGACACGTTCAACCTCAATCATCCCCCACTGCTACAGCTGCAACCTGCTGGAGGAGTTTGCCCCCCTTCCATCTTTCCTCTTCAGCCATCCCATTCACCCATCAGTCCTTCCGTGCCTCGATCCCTTCCAGTCCCCACGGCCATCGTACCTTAGTAATCGTGTTAAGTCCCTGATTGCAGATGTCTCTCATCACGGAACCAGACACAGTCCTGGCCAGACTCCAGGCCAAGCAAGCAAGCGAGACATACAATTTTGCACACATGCACGCACACACACATACAGCTCAGGAAAAAAAGAGGTAGAAGCAGGCCAATCAGCCTCCAGTCGACATTTCCCACAGGAGGGGGAAAGACTAAAGCTTCGTCGGGGATGGAGACGGCCCTAATCACCAAAGAAGACAGTGACAAAGTGAACACCAAAAAGCATGCACGCATTCTTTAACACACATAGTCACACTTCTGGGACATGTCTGGGTCCTACAGCATGGAAATCCCTGGAACAGGCAGAAAATAACTGGGGCAAGCCAAACACACACACACACAAGCACAGATTCACACACCCAGCTACATGTGTATATGCAACTTTAATTGCAGCTCTAGGGGAAAACCCTCATGGCTGTTTCTACATAGTCGAAAGAGGAAAGGAAGGAGAGGGGGTGTCATGGAAGTGAAAACGAAGTGTTGGAAAGTGTGAGAGGTGAGGAAAGGTTCCCGGCTTTGGTGTGTGCATGAGCAGTGTTGCAGAGTTTGCCACTAGAAAGTCTAAAAACAGCAACTGGGAGAGAGTGAAGAAAGGATTCCACCAGCGTCTTGAGACCAGGAATCTCCTTCATTCAATGCAAATATGAAAAACAAACTGGGTTACTAAAAATGGCCAGAGATTAACAAGACACAAATGGCAGCTGATAAATTCACATTTCTTGGAAATAAGTGGGTGAAATGCTTCTTTCATGCCTACAGTCTAAGGAGGACGCTGTGGTTTACTTCTCTCTCATTTTACTCTTCCATTACAGTTCCCAAGGCGGATGTACGTTATGCAGAATCTGCAGAAAATGACATCACCCAAGTATTAGGACTCTCAGGACTCTAAAGAAGAGAACCCTTTTTGAAAGACTACTGCTCACTTTACTTTCCTAATGCCATCTGCTTGCCTTTGAGTGGCTATGAGCGCCAAGTCGGTATCTTCTTGATCAATGGACTGCTTCTAAAAATCCTCTAAAAGCAACTGAATAACACAGTTCACTAATGCTTAAAGTGCACTAATGGACACTCTCTTGGAGTTTTTATTTGATTAATTTCAACAACAATTCAATTTTTGCCTTTTAAGTCTGGATTTCTTGCAAGTTTATGAGCTAAAATGAATCCTTTCTTTCTAGACTACTTGTTGCTGGGTATGTAAAAGTTTGTGTCTGAGTGTGTGAAGAAAAGAAAAGGCAACTGGTGAGGTGGTTGAGAAAAGTGAGTCACGCAACAGACAATATCTTAAAACACATGAGCATGCATGGCCATCCCTGGATGCT